GACCGTTGTGTCGGTTTTGCTTTACCTGTGTTTGTGACAAAGTATGGTCAGTACTTGAAATGCATCGAATGCGCTCTGTTCCTCGCCCCACAGTCTCCCTCATAATAGCTGACACGAACTTACAGAAGCCATTAATTGATCTTAACTGTAGGGAAAAGATTGGCCTGATGGGAAAAAAGTGAATTTTGCAGACCATGCCTGTTACTCTCACAATACGTTTCCCCAGTTTTTTACTGCCACAACGAATCTTTGTTGTTTTATGTATTTGGTTATATCAATGTCTTTCCGCACGTTAACATCGCTTTTTTATGTTGCAAAGTGAACCGGCGAGTTTACGAATAGATTACATTCTATGTAACATGAACAAATGATAACTCATTCGAAACTATTTGACTTGAGTAAAGACTCGGCTCAAGTATAGGTCAAGGGTTTTCAATCGGCACCACAATGTGCTGCTTCTTCGTCTCCCCGGTATGAGAAATCCTCCAGACACGACCCCTTGCTGGAGCAGCTGGGCGTGGGTGGCGGGGCGTGGTGTGGCGGGGCGTGGCGGGGCGGGGCGTGGCGGGGCGTGGCGGGGGAGGAGCCGCGCCACCATTGGCTGCGCGGGCCGCCCACCGTTAAGCCCCGCCTCTCGCCGCCCCACCACGCCGCGCCACACCGCGCCTCGCCACGGCCCGAGCCCGAGCCAGTCCACCGCTCCGGCTGGGATGACCAGGCCTGCACCCCGCGAGACGTGCAGCACAGCCGTTCACGACGTGCAGTACGGGAACGTTTAGGGACGTTTAAAGGGCAGTGTGATTTTCTGACGATTTTTGAGGACCGACGTGCACGCGGCAGAAGGGCGCCAGATCACCCCGTGACACGAACCTGCGACGGGGACGTGTGGTGGCACCGAGTACCGAGCACCACAAAAAGCGCGCAGCTGCACCGTGCAGCTGGCGGGACGACCCTCGCGAGGGTGCCACTTTGGGCCGCAGGTGCAGCCCTCGCAGGTGCAGCCCCCGCAGTCTTAGGGCGCACCCCACAGCAACACGTTGTTCCCCCTCCAAGGCCGGGCGCTCGCGGGGCGGGGCGTGGCGCGGCGTGGCGCGGCGTGGCGCGGCGGGGCGGGGCGGAGGGTCCCGCGCGGCCGGCAGCCACTGCTCGCCGTGCAGGCCGCGGAGTAGAGGTGCTGGAGCCCGAGCTCCGCTGCGGCCCGCTCTGGCCCGCGTCCTGGCCGACAGGCTCGCCGACAGTGTCAAGTGTGAGTGCGTGTGCGCGAGTGCAGTGAAGTGAGTGCAGGATGCCGCCCGGTAGGAGCAGGACGAGCGGTGCGTGAGGCAGGAGCCCGAAGCATGCACTGGGACCGCCTGGAGCTGGAACCGAGGCTGGAACCCAGGCTGGAGCCGAGGCTGGAGCACCCCGGGGCCGGCGGCGGCCTGTCGTGGGCCGCCGTCCTGGGCCACCACCACGGCGGCGTGGAGCACCAGGCCTTCCACCAGCACGGCGGTGCGGGGGCCATGGACTTGCACGTGCCGCAGGGCCTGCACCAGGGCCTGCACCAAGGCCTGCACCAGGGTCTGCACCAAGGCCTGCACCAGGGACTGCACCAGGGGCTCCCCAACGCCTTCCAGTATTACAGGTAAGGCCCAGACCTGGCCTTCAGCCACGCCAGGACGGTGTCACTCGGTGACAGTGTTGCCAGACAACTTGGCACAAATTGCCTACGACACACCAGTGTGAAAGTGGTGGTTTGGGCGCCGGCCTCCAGGGACTACTACAAGGTGTGGGGAATTTGCCAACGCCCACCTCACAAAGGTGTGTCGTCGTCGATTTCTGCCTGCTTATGTGGCTAAACTGTCCTGTTGTCGAATCTGACTGGCTGGCCACCAGCAAATGAACGTGCCCAACAGAACTATACTGCCTGGAACTGTACTGTACCGCATGCAGGCGTGCATACGAGTTGTCTATCCTCGCTGACACTTCACGACTCCAAGTTCCAAGGGAGTAGGCAACCCGCCTGCACGCCTACCCATCCAATGCAATGCAACCACTGAAGACGACATAAGGGATCATCCAGAAAGTAGTCCGTCATTCGCCGTCGCGAAGCTGCCAAGTTCAGCCCCAGCAAGCTGTCGAAGCGCCTGGTAGGTGGACACCATCTAGTCTGCAGTGCGTGCGTGTACTGCGGGGTGGCCTATCTTGAGTCTCGCAGGCGCCGAGCTCCCCTAATCTGCCGAATTAATTTGAGGAAAACGGATGTACTTCCTAGACGATGCATAGGGATATGCGGGCCACGGCCACCTTGAGTCGCCAAAACGCAGCCTGTCACCTTGGCACGATCACGACGACTCCGAGGACCGGCGGGTTCATCCGTGCCTCTCTACAGGGCTCTTCCCAGAACTCCCGACACGCGGGAGGACTGCGCATCCCAACGCGGTCGTCCTGGGGACATTGTCGAAGGCCATGGCCAGCCTCCGCCGCGGACAACCGAAGCCACTCTGCCGGTGCGGGGATAAGATAAGACCCGAGCAGCACGCGGAGCCGCCGGTCCAGGGGAGCCAGCTGGCCAGGCTTTAGGCGTAGGGCCCAAGACTTGGACTCCGTTCGAACATTCAGCTTTAGTCTGAAGCAGGCTGCGGCGCGAGGGCCTCCAATTCCGATGTTTCGTCCTGGGACGGTGCGAGCGCGGCGGGCAGAGAGCCCCGGCCCGGGCCCTCTCCGAGGCCCTCCCTGAGGTTGCGGTGGCCGCGGCCCGTGTTTGTTCTTGTTGCACTCGCACTCGCACTCGCCGCGGAGCGCAGCGGGACAACGCGTCATTCCGACTGCACAATGGCTGCATATCACAATGTCTCACATCGCATGCCACAGGCACAACCACCTATGATTACCTCTTCTCTCACTCGACGGAATAAACGAACATTGTTATTATTCCGCCAAGAAACCGAACCGAGGCAGCGGGCGACGCGGCCCGTGGTCCCGTGGTGGCTGGCGCGGCGCGCGCGGCAGGCTGCCTACCCGCCCTGCAGGTGCCTCGAAACCCAAACGTTCTGGCGGGCTGGCGGGCCCTGCAGGTGCCACCCGTCCTGAAGGTGTCACCCCTCCTCCTCCTGGCGGGCTGCCTACCAGGCCGGCGGGCCCTGCAGGTGCCACCCATCCTCCTGGCGGGCTGCCTACCAGGCCGGCGGGCCCTGCCACCGGTGCCACCTGACTTCCTGGCGGGCTGCCAGCGCCGCCGCGGCCGGGCTCGGGCCCTGCCCGTCAACAGACACATCAGACCACCTCAATTATTAACTACTCGCTAATTGTTGCTGACAGCGATTCGTTACCCGATCTAGCTAATGTGGGTTTATCGTTGACGCTAACGGTATTAAAGTGTCGCGTCTCTTGTCACCCCGACCCATAAGGCTGGGCTCTTCACGGCTCTTCATTCCCATAACTGTCGAGACGTCTTCCTCAGCCCCGCGTGGCCACCGGGCCGGCGTTACAATACTCTTCGCGGGGCTCTCGGCACTCGGGGCGGGCCGTGAGAAACTGCCAGGACAGCTTTGGTTTCCCCAAAAGTAAATGCATAAATCTAGAGGTCTGCAGTAACGAATGACTCATATACCGGACTGTAAACAACGAGGATGGCACTTTTATATGTCGCCTGCATTTCAGAATGCTTCGTTATTTTAGAGCCTTTTCAGAGACCATCTAAAGCTTCCTCCTGCTCTTTCCCCGAAGTAAAACAACGAACCATAAAAATTACTAACAGTGTCGATAAAACTGATGATCTCAAATTGTATAGTAGATCAGAGGAGAGGTCAATATTGAATGACAATTATTGTGGCTGAGAAGGGGACATCTACCTGGTAACC